CTCCAAGAGAAGTGGTCCTGGTGCTTTGATGAAGTAGGCAGGACGCATCCCTAGAAAGGGATGTAACACATACCGTCCACGGTGGGGAAGAACACAGCAGAAAACCCAGCTCCTCAAAGTCTCCTGAGGATGCTGGACCATTTAGCTGCAGAATCCTGGGGCTTACCTCAGTGCAAAGACCCCACAGCTGAGAGTGTGCCCACTCCTCCCATCTTCTGGAGGATAGAACTGAGCTGCAGTTACGTTCTCAGGGAGGAGCAGGAGGAAAGAGGACAAGGACCTGGTTACTCAGGAGTCTTTATTCACGCGTTCGTCAATTCACTTACATAATCACCGATCCAGCCATTTGTCCACTCCATCCTTCATTCACTCACAATTATATTTAGCACTTGTTCTATGCCCAGCACTGTGTCCCAAGCTGTGAGTACAAAATAATAACGAATTTCCTTTCCTTCTGCCCTAAGCAGGATTCTACATGACCCAACTCAATTTTCAAGACTCTCCTCTTTTGTCCCATCCCTTCTCAGGGACCAGGTGTTCATGTGACACCTTCTGCGGCACTAGCAGGACCCTAATAAACACAGATCCCAACACTGGTCAACAAACTCTCTCCTATTGAATCGAACAGGTTAGATTTTACAGATCCACCCACACAGTTCGTGAAGGGACAGAGAACAGGACTGGAAGTACCGGCTTCTTAGGATCAGATTCAAGTCTGTCGAGTTCTGGCTTCACACTAGGTGTCTGATGACCGACAGACGAACTGGTTGTAGCCTGTTCCCCACGAGCCCCCGACCCCCTGGGGTGTCCACCTAGAATCATTCCAGTGGCCCTTTTCCCTTTTGCCGGCTGCCTCTCACTTCTACCCGCTGCCTTCACGGGATCTGTGACAATTCGTGCTCTTTAAAACATTTTCCGGAGTATGTCTGTGTGTCTTCAGCGGTGGCGGAATGCTGGATAATTATCTCCCAATTCATCAGGCTCCTTAACAGGCAAATGCCTTTTTTTTTTCCCGATAAGTTTTTTTCTGGCTGAGGCACCAGTAGGCCCTGTTGCTACGGAAACCAGAACGTTTCTTTCTCTATTTTAATGGTATGTTGAGAGCCCCGCGTTTCTGTGCACCACACATATGGCGGCCGTTTGCTTTCTCAGCTCTTTTCTCCTTTCCTATCTCTGCTGACCCGTCCGGCATCTTCCCTCCCTCCCGTGTTTCCAAACGTTCCCCCCCTCATCCGCAGCCCCTGCTCGTCCCCTCCCTGCCTCTCACTGTGCCTCCACCTCCCCCTACCCTTCCATCTGGTTTTCTCAGCTGTTTAAAAAGAATACCAGTTGGCTGGCTTCTCAGCTGTTTAAAAAGAAATACCAGTTGGCTGGCACGAAATCTAAGAGGGAGAGAGAGAGAAAGGGTAATTGTGGGAACAGAGCTTTGCAAAAACCTTTGACCAGCCAGGTGTTTCCTGCTGGAAGACTCGTGGCATCACTTGGCCATCTTCCTAGGACACGGGGCTTTGGAGGAGGAGGTAGGGGACACAGAGCACCGCACAGGGAAGGAGAGGCTGTAGGACACAGCCCCTCAGCACCATCTGTCGCCGCTGCTCTTGGGCACAGACCAACCTACCTCCACCCAAGTCCCTGGGTTTGGCACAAAGACCGATGGAGGTAGTAGAGAGAGCCCGTTGACATTTATTGTTTATTCTTTTATTCAACAAACAAGTACTGGACACTTAAAACATGCCCAGCACCATTCTAGGATACGCTGGTGGTCCCTGTCCTCAGTGAGCAAGACTTGCTCCCTGACAGCTGTGAAGACAACATGGTAAGGGGTGGGAGGCAATGTCAGAATGAGGGACTTGGGTTCTGGGGTCAGACCAACTTGAGTTTGAGCCGTAGGCTACCATTTCCCGCTAGAACCTTGAGTAAATAACTACACCTCTTTGAAGCTCAATTACCTCACCCCTAAAAGGAGCATCCTAATAAAGTTGTTTCTGATGGTTAAATAAAATGATGAACATTTATTAGTGTTTCGCCCGTCACCCAGTCCACACTCAGTAAATTCTCGTTGCCATGGTTGTCATTCTCATTACGATTACTGTTGTCAGGGTGCATAAGAGGATCAAGATAACATGAAAGATGCACAGAAGAAGGCTTGGACTGGACACTTCCTAGGTGAGAAAAGTGGGAAGAACATTCCAGTCAGAGGGACCAGTCTGCGCAAAGGCACGTGGTGTGGACGGGGAAGGGCTTCTGTGGCCGCAGCATCAGATACGTGTGTCTGGGGACAGGGACACAGTGGGCTTGGCCTGGGCTGTGAGGACACTGATCCATACCCTAAGGGGACTGAACTTTTGATCAGTCCCCTTCGTGGACGTGAACAGGCAGTTCTTAGGCTTAAGAGCGGCACAAGCCAAAAAATAAAATAAAATAAGAACAGCACAAGCAGATAAACTGTTTGGGGGGAAGAATTTTTCCCTGTGATACACAAAATGCCCAGATGAAGGGGCTCTTGAACCTTCCCTTGCTTTAGAGTAAGTGGGTCCACCTCCTCCACTGTTGGTGGGAATGTGAATTGGTGCAGCCACTATGGAGAACAGTATGGAGCTTTTTTCCTTAAAAAGCTAAAAATACAGCTACCATATGATCCAGCAGTCACACTCCTGGGCGTATATCTGGAGAAAACTCTAATTCCAAAAGATGCATGCACCCCAAAGCTCACAGCTGCATTGTGTACAGTAGCCAAGACATGGATGCAACCTGAATGTCCATCAAGAGAGGACTGGTTAAAGAAGATGAGATAGATATGCATGCAGTGGACTACTACAGCCATAAAAAAGAATGGAATAACAAAGCCATTTGCAACAACATGGATGGACCTGGAGATGATCATACTAAATGAAGTGAGTTAGACAGAGAAAGACAAATGTCATATGCTATCACTTATATGTAGAATCTAAGAAAAAATGACACAAATGAACTTATCTACAAACCAGAAATAGACTCACAGACATAGAAAATAAACTAGGTTACCAAAGGGGAAAGGGGTTGGAGAGAGGAATAAATTAGGAGTTTGGGATCGGCATATTTACACCACTGTATATAAAACAGATAAACAATAAGGACCTCCTGCCTACTGTCTAGCACAGGGAACTATATTCAGTATCTTGTAATAACCTATAATGGAAAAGAATCTGAAAAAGAACATATGTACATATGTATGTGTGTGATATATGTATGTATAATTGAATCACTGTGCTGTACACCTGAAAATAACATTGTAAATCAACTGTACTTCAATAAATAAAAAATAAAAGTCATTTTTTTTTAAAGTGGTTCCTGGTGATCCTGGCCAGCACCACATACTGGTTGACCCCTTGCTCCAGTCTTGCCCCTTCCTTCTATCACATTCTAAGCCACCTCTACCTGGGCATCAGGCATCAATGCAGGAGCCTCAGCTATGTGGCCTTGAACTAAGTAAGCACTGACACAATGGAAGGGGTAGATGAGATGATCTTGGAGCCTCTTGTGGCTTTCGATAACATGACTCCATAAAGAATTTAAAGGAGGGGTTGGTGGCACCAGAGATGGCGTGGTTCACAAGGACAGAGATGCTGTGTGTGTACAGAGTAGTGTGATGTGGGAGAAGAAGCAGAAAGGATGGAGCGGCATGCCCAGGGCAGAGAGAGCAGGCGGGGTTCAGTGTCTGAGCTGGCACAGGAGGGGAAGGATTCTTGAGAAGGGTCAGTAATAACTCGGTGGCTAATTCCATTGTGCTTGGAGATTGGGGAAACAACAGCCAGTCAAGAGGAAGATTGGATGCTCTGGGTTTGGCCTTACTAAAAAGGAAACAGCAGAACTGCAAGTTCTGCTTTGGGTCACGTGGTACATCCACCCTCTGCTCTCAACACTGAGCAAGCATTCTTGAACTTTGCAATCTGAAATTCTGCCGGATCTCCTTCTACCTTGTGTCTTAAATAAGACAACAGTATCTGAAAATACGTGTCAGCCTGGATTTCCAGAATCAAAAGGAGATCAGAGCAGACAAAGGTAATAAGGCAGATAGGACACAGGTCCCCTCCCCCATCCACCCACAACCTCTTGCCCTTAACAGGGGTCTGTCAGGGTTCCAATGAATGTTTATATTTTAGGGTGTTCATTCTCTCTTAAGAACTTGTAGGAGCCCTGCTCCTAAGGACATCCTTCTCCGTCCTCCACCAATACCCAGCATGTCCTTAGGCATTCAAGACCAGATGGCCCAGAGAGGACAGGGGCTTCTAGGAGTCTTGAGGGACTGGCCCCTTGACCCTGCAGTGAAATCTTTGCCCCAGCAGGCTCTGTTCCACATATTCAAGCCAATCTTTAGAACAAGTGCCTAATGAGGATTTTTCAAGTGTCCCCAAGATAGGAAGACTGCCTGATTTTATCAAGAAATATCCTCCAGCTACTCAAATTATTAAATAGCAAATGTTCCCCTTAAGAATCTGCTTAATTTTTTTTATGTACTATTTCCTTAGCCTGTTTTCAGTTAGAAAGCACGAGAGGCATTCCCTGAATTATAGTGCAGTTTATTTGAGGATGCTGGTGCTGATGTAGACGTTGCGCTCACCACCGCAGTCTGCATTCCTAAGTCATCAGTACAGACAAGAAACTAATAGCAAGAGGTGAACGATATGGCTGTGTTTGAACAGGACGCTAATGTGATCACTGCAATTTAATTGAGGACACTTATAGAATTAACCAAATTTACCAGCTATTATGAGGTCATTGTTGCTCAAATCCAAGAGTCTCATGGGAGAACTCAAGGTCTTCAATTCCCCTTGCTCCACTTCTAGGGAGGATGGTAAACATCAAAGATTCCATTCTAAAGTTACATAAAGCTGCTCATCAAATCAGGAGATGGGGCTCTCAGCAGTCAGAGCAAAGGTGTTACCATTTCTGTTATTCACCTGAGGTCATCCGTTTGATTCCATCTCTTGCTATGGGTGATTAAGACGATATTTTGGGGAGGGGGTGTAGCTTAAATGGTAGAGTGCATGCCTAGCATGCATGAGGTCCTGGGTTCAATCCCCAGCACCTCCATTAAAAATATATATAATAATAAATACATGAATAGACCTAATGACCTCCCTCCATTAAACTCAAGGCTGCTGTCTCTCTAGCATTGTCTACCCTTTGAAAAGTCAGATGAGATCTAGGGGACCTCGGAGGAAGGGGGACAACGCCAATTGGAGGAGGGTCAGAATGGCCGGGAAAGGCAGGGATAGGACAGGTGAGAGCCAGACTGACCTCCGCCATAAGTCTGTAAGAGGTGCTGTTCCTTCTGGTGCCTCAGTGGTCCCTCGGGAGGTATTGTCTTCCAGCAGGACAATAATATCTCAAGGGGTAAGAGTAACTCAAGCTCTGTCTGTTGGATTGATTCTGTTTGCTCAGTAAGAGTGTGTAAAAGGCCAGGACCAAGTAGATCTGGATACAGAGCTCCAAGCTCCCTTTGACTCTAAGAATCTGTGACTAGGGAGGCGAGACACTTAACCTCTTTCCTGGATCCCAGGGAACCAGTAAGTATCAAGTCAGAGAAGCAAAGAGCATTAACTCTGAACAAAACAAGACACAAGCTGAAGCCTAAATGCTATTGGAACCCCACGACCGAAGTTCACTTTCTAATTAATAGCATACATATTGCCTCCTAGACATTTTCAAAAATTATTTATTGAGTGTCTGCTAAGTACTTTATATGCTATATCATTTAGTATTTACCAAAGTTCTACAAGATAGCTATTATTATACTCAATTTACAGATAAGGAAACTGAGGCACCGGAAATGTAAACAGCCTGTCCAGGGTCTTACAACTAGTAGGTGGCTGAGCTGGGGTTGGTGTGACCTCGGAGCCCATGATGGCCACCGTGCCTCCCCTGGAGAACATCCACAGATCGTGGCTGAGCCTGTCACTCAGGTCCCAGGGCATCTCCGCCCCCACCCAGCCCGGGACAGCTGCACACACTTCGGACTCTCACTAGGGGAGTTTTTCCAGGCAGGTGCATGCTGGCTGGCCAAATGAGGCATGATTGGGGATAATTATGACATGACATGGTCTAGAATGAAGAGCAGATGGGGCTTGAGTACACAGAAACCCTTTGCGGTCTGATTTCAAGGGAAGGAGACACGGCCACCTTAATGGTTTCCAGCACACTTCAGCAAGAGGGGTCAGAGAGGAAGGCTGACAGCCGTGGCCAATGTGGTTGGCAACAGCGGATGCTGAAAGCCACGTCCTGCCTGCAGTCATAAGTCATCCTTCCCAACGTGACCAGCCTGGGAGCCTGGAACCAAGGGGGGTCATGTGGAAGAGGCAGAAAGGCAGGGCCAGGCGGACCATCTCTTTGGAAAAATTCTGTGACCAAGACAAACCCACAGCATTTCAGCGGTGGTCGGACTGCAGGCAGACCAGGGAAGAGGGACAGTGATGTGGTAAAAACAGCACTAAACTGGGAGGTCTTCAGAACCTGGCCTGACCCGCGGTCCCAGTTTTACCGCTAACCAGGTGTTGACCCTGGAGAAATCACTGACTCTCTGTGAGCCTTGAGCGAGGAGCTTAAGTCCCGTAACACTAAAATATTCTGCTTCTTTGGGATTGGCTGATACAAGCCACTATGTATAGAAAAGACAAACAACAAGGTCCTACAGTACAGCACAGAGAATTATATTCAACGGCTTGTAGTAACCTGTAATGAAAAAAATCCATATATATATGTATAACTGAATCACTATGCTATACACCAGAAACAAATACACCATTGTAAATCTAAAAATAAAAATAAAAAAGCAAAAACAAAAATAAATAAATAAGATAAAATATTCTGATTCTAACCTGAGCCTATTAAATATTCTGTGTAAAGCTTTCCTCTCTATGGAAATCAAGACAAAGATACCTCTTATATGAAATAGAGCAGCACGGGGGTTCAGTCCAAAGACAGGCATATACTGGTGTCTCGCTTGCCATCCTGAAGACATAAAGGGTTCCTTCTCCTGCAAATCAGCCAGAATAACGTTGGTTGCAAGCAAGAAAATATGCTGATTCAACTAGCTTGAACAATATGAAATGCATCTCATAAGAAGTGAGGACGTAGGCCAGCTCCAAAGCTGGTCAATTTGTCCTCAAGAACCCAGATTTTTTTCTGTCTCTCCCCTCTGTCATCTTCCACGTACAGGTTTGCCCTCAGAAGTAGGTTCCCCGGAGGGTTACAAAGATGGCTACCGTATTTCCAATGTCATTGCCACACATTACAACATCTAGTGTAGAAGAAAAGTCGTCTCTTCCCCAAAACCAATGTTTTAAGAGTGACAAAACCTTTTCCAGAAGCCTCTCAATATCTCATTGTCCAGAACTAGTCTTATGCCTAATCCCAACCAATCACAGGCAAGGGAGGTGGCACCAGTGTGACTGACTCCACCTGTCCAGGATTACCTGAGGGGCTGGGCAAGGGCAGAGACCTGAATGAAATCAGGCAGGGCTCCACCAGCAGAAAAGAGCCAGGGGTTGCTGTGGAGTTGGTCGCTATAGCAAAGACAACTATTCACTTCTCACTACCCATTTTCCCTTTCTTCCTTAACGATATAAACCCTAGTGTTTAACTGGGCAGTTTGCCAACCAGAATAAAGATGACTTTTGTCAGCTTTACATTTTCATTGCTATGTGTAGCCATGTCATTAAATTCTGGCCAATGAGGCATAAGCAGAGGGGTTGTGTGGACCTTTGGAAATGACACTGAAATAGAGCGAAGTCAGCTTGGAGCCCTGCCCACTGTATTCTTTTGCCTTCCTCCTTCTTCTGGCCTGCAACCCAAATGTGACTCCTGGATCTGCAGCAACCATCTTGGACCATGAGTCGACCTTAAGGATGGAAACCACATCCTAGGGGATGGTAAAACTGAAAGACAGAAGGCACTGAGTTCTCTGGTGACTCCAGAGCAACCATCTCTGCCTTAGACAGCCCATCTCCTTACTTATAAGAGGAAATAAACTCATGTGTTTGGACCAGTATTTGTCTGGGCTGTTGCTTATCACCAGTGTGATTCTTAACTGGTACAGTAACCAGCAAGGAATGCTAACCCCACTTACATAGTTATATAGGCAACCCTATGTGAATTATATAGGTTACTTGAGTGTATTCTCTCAGTGGGGAAATACACGAAAGATAAGATGAGGCAGTGAGAGGTTTTAGAAGCAGACTGATCTGAGTGCAAATCCTAGCTTTGTCACTTACAACCTGTGACCACTGGGGAGTAACTTCACTTTTCTTCCTTTCTTCCTTTCTTCCTTTCTTCCTTTCTTTCTTCCTTTCTTCCTTTCTTCCTTCCTTCCTTCCTTCCTTTCTTTCTTTCTTTCTTTCTTTCTTTCTTTCTTTCTTTCTTTCTTTCTTTCTTTCTTTCTTTCTTTCTTTCTTTCTTCTTCCTTCCTTCCTTCCTTCCTCCTCCT